TGGCCATGATAAAAGCAGCAACTGGAAAGCTTACTCTACCCCAGGTCATACCACCCTTCTCCTCCCTACAATTCCAGCCTTCTCCCCCTCCCTGATCTTCATCCTGGGTTCTGGCCACTAAAACCCTGCAGTTGCCTTTATCCTGCTCTGTCCCTGCTACTGGGGACATTTTTTTTAAAATATGGAACCCTTCACAAATTTGCATGTCATCCTTGAACAGGGACCATGCCAATCATCTCTGTATCGTTCCAATTTTAGTGTATGTGCTGCCGAAGCAAGCACATCACCAGGAACATTTTCCCCTTTTGCCCTTCAAGATGCACCTGTTCTGTGAAGCCTTTCATCCCCTCTCTTCTTCTGCCCTCAGCACACTGTACATATGGGTGTTCCATTACCCTAGTGCTGTGCATGATGATATATTTGATTCTAAATATGCCTTCTTCACTGGACTGAGAGCTCCTTGAGGGCAAGAACTGTGTCTTGTTCTCCTCTGTGACCTCAGCACCCATCACGGGGATTAGGCCATGTGGAGACTAGTAAAGGCTTGTGCAGTACCTGGACAGAGAAGTGGACCCAACTAAGCAGAGGGCTGTGCCCACCGTGTTAAGACTGTCAGATGCTGGAAGTCTGGGCACCAGCTACCCAAAAGCCATCCCTATAATGATTTTTCTCAAAATGTGCTCCATGTTCCTCTATAGGAGAGACAATATGAAATGGCACAAAGATATTTTTAATTTTAAATAAAATTTAATAGTCATTTATTTAAACGTATGTTTTAAAATGTAACAAACACATCAAATCTTTTTTATTTGTATTTGTATTACTGTTTAGGGTAGATGAGACTAAAATAGATATTAAAGTTTTAAAAGTGAATGGATATTGTAATCCCAGCCCTTGAGAGGCTGAGGCAGGAGGATCACCACAAGTTTGAGGCCAGCCTAGGCCACATAATGAACTCAAGTCCAGCCCACACTACATAACAAGACCCTATCTCAAAAAAAAAAAAGTGAGCCAGGGATATAGCTCAGCAGGTACGAGCACCTGCCTGGCAAGTGCGAGGTCCTGAGTTTGATTCCTGATACCAAAAAAAAGTGAATGGATACACACAGAAATATTTTAGGTGACTAATGACGTGAACGTTAAATAGATACGACAATATTCCTAAAAGGACTCTTCATGTGGCAGTAGTTGTGAAAGTATTTTTCACAGTCTTATATTCAATTTTCTGTTCTTTTGTGATGCCACTCAGCCTCCAAGTGTTCTGGGTTCACTCTAACATTCCTCCAACTTGCTATGACTCCATCTGCTGAACTCATTTGCCACCTGTCCTGGTAGCATTGATTCTCCATTTATTAGCATGCATTTACTCACCTCAGCCACTCTTGTAAGGTCCTTAAGAGCAATGACTAAGCTTCAATTGAACCCAGGAAGACTGAACTACATCCCTAACCCCCTTTTAAAATTTTATCTTGAGATAGAGTTTCACTAAGTTGTCCACACTGGCCTCAAACTTGTGATCCTCCTGCCTCGGCCTCCCAAGTAGCTAGGATTACAAATGTGCACCACTACACCTGGCTAAGAGCAATGACCAAGCTATGGGCCTCTGTGGGTTGAATAGGAAAGTGCATGATCAGCTGCTCCATATGTAGCACTACAGATGTTTGGTCTTTTGATGAACAGGTACTGAGCACCTGCTCCATGCCAGGCACTATTGAGGGTGCTAGCAATGGAGTACTGAACAAGATAGGCATACAGCTTATACAGACAGACAGCACACTAATAAAGAAACACAATATGTTTTCAGAGTGCTAAGTGCATTGTTGAAAATAAAACAGGACTAAGTGGCAGAAAAGAAAGTGACATGGGCTGGCTACTCAGCCTGGGTGGTCATAAGGCCTCTCAGAGAGTACTTGAGTAGAGATCTTTCAACTCAAAGTAGCAGAGGTGTTGAGATGCGTCAGAAATAAGAGCTAAGGACAGGGCTTCTCAGGCAGAAGGAACAGTAAGTGCAAAGAAGGAGAAAGCCCTGAGAGGGTAAAGGGGTTCGTGTTCACACCACACCAAGAAGATCTATGTAGCTAGAACCAGGTGACCAGGGAGGGCATGGGTAGGAGATAACATACAAGATACCGGGTCCTGCAGGTAAGTCACTTGGATGTTATTCTAGGTGTGACTGAAGGCCATTAAAGGGTTTTTGACATATGAGTAATATGGTCTGATGTGATGCTTTTACTGCTCTATGCAGAGTAGGTCGTAGGGGACAAGGATGGAACCAGGGAGACCAGTTTTGAGACTACTAGAGTCATCTATGCAAAAAGCAATAGTGATTTGTAATACTGATGGCAGTGAAGGGTGGAGGAACACGGGTGGATTTGGTAGAATACACAGGCCTTGCTCAGGGATTGAAGAGGACAGCTGTAAACAAAGGAAGAAAGACGGATGACCCCTAGTCAGTGTCATGAAGAAAGACAAAAGGCACAAGGAGGCTGTTCTATATCTGCATTGTCCAGTAGAGCCACCCCTAGCCACAGGTGGCTATTTAAATTCAGTTCTTCCTTTGCACTAACCATATTCAAGTACTTAATAGCCACCTGTGAGTACAGGCTACCATATTGGGCAGTATAGATATATAGAATATTTCCATCATGGGGCTGGGGATTTAGCTCAGCAGCACAGCACCTGCCTGGCAAATGCAAGGTCATGAGTTTGATTCCTGGTACCAGAAGAAAAACAAAACAAAATGAAAAACAGAATATTTCCATAATCCCAGAAAGTTCTATTGGATAACACTATGCTACATTAAAAAGACTAATAAGAGAGTAAAAAGATGAGCCATAAACTTGGAAAAATATTTGCAAAACTTGTATCCAGTAAAGGATCGTATGTCGACATCCACAAAATACAAAGAACTATTACAACAACAATAAGAAAACAAGCAACCCAATGTAGAAGTGGGAAGCCAGGCATGGGGGTATGAGCCTGTAACCCAGTACTCAGAAGGCCAAAGTAGGATGACCCAGAGGGGGGATCACAAGATTGAGGACGGTCTAGGCAACATACTGGGACCTAGTCTCAATTTTTTTAGAAGAGCTGGGGATATAGTTCACTGGTACAGCGTGTGCCTAACATGTGAGAGGCCCTAGGTTCAATCCCCAGTACTGAAAGGTGCAAAAGATATGAACAGGCAGTTCACTGAAGAAGATATACAGATGGTAAGAAAGTATATGGGAAGATGTTCAACATCATGTGTCACTATGGAATTGCAAACGAAAACAGAGATACCACTACATACCTATGAGAATGGCTGAAGTCCAAGACACTGAAAACACCAAGTGCTGGAAATGACGTGGAGCAAGAGAAACTCTCATCCATTGCTGGTTGGAATGCAAAATAACACAGCCACTTGGAAAGACAGTCTGGCACTTTATGCCAAAGTTAACCAGTCTTACTATGTGATCCAGCAATTGCTGTCCTTGTACTTACCTGAATAAATTGAAAACTCATGTCCATACAAGAAACTGATATTTGTGACCGCTTTATTTATAATTTCCAAAACTTGGAAGCAACCAAGACAACCTTCATCAGGCCAATGGATAAACTATGATACATCCAGACAATGGAATATTATTCAGTGGTAGAAAGAAACAAACTATCAAACCACAAAAAATGTGAAAGAATCTTAAATGTATATTGCTGAGTAAAAGAAGACATTCTGAAAAGGCTACATGCTGTATGACTCCAATATGACATTGTGAAAAAGGCAAAACTATAGATACAGTAAAAAGAAATGAGTGAATACCAATCTTGGGTAGGAAGGGAAGGATGAATCGGGAGCTCAGGATTTTTAGGGCAAGGATATTATTCTGTATAATATGGTAATAGCATATACATAACATTATACACTTTTTAAAATTCATAGAACTGTATAACACTAAGCGTGAACCCTAATATAAACTGTGGATTTTAGTTAGCAATAATATATCAGTATTAATTCATCAGCTGTAACAAATGTAATGTACTAATCCAAATGTTAATAATAAGAGCAACTGCCTACAGGAGCGGGAGGAAGGGAATATGTGAGTGTTCTCTGTACTTTCTGCTCAGGTTTTCTGTAAACCTAAAAATGCTCAAAAAATAATTAAAGAAGGAATAGAGTGTTCACCAGCACCTAGAAAAGTACCTAGCACAGAGTAGACAATGTTTGTTGAATAAATGGATAGACAAATGCATTAATCAGTCAATAAATAAATAGAAAGCAGGCCCCTGAGTCAACCAGTACAGTCACAGTCCAGTACTCATTCTTAGACATTAGAGGTAGGATAACAAGGTAATGTATTGTCCAAACCAAGACATTTGAGAATGAAATGGAGTGCCACAGATGTAAATCAAGACCATTCCCGAAATAACCAGAAACTTCAAGCTGGGGGCCCACGAGCCACATCGTGCCTCCAAAATTGTTTTGTTTGGCCATTCATATTGATTCTCCACAGTCTTCTTTTCATTTTTTTTTCAGTGCCAGGAATGGAACCCAGGGCCTCACACATGCCAGGCAAGCACTCCACTGCAGAACTACATCCCCAGCCCTCCACAGTATACATAATTTAAAAATTTCAGTCATTTGCCCAAATTTAATACTGTGGAAATGTTACATTAAAATATGTTATCTCTGACTTCTCTTGGAAAATGGAAAGCTCTGGTCACTCTCGGCTGGCATGGCTGCACAGTAGTGAATGACTAGAGCTGAATACCAGCTGCTGGCTTTGCAAGTGTGTGCCTTCCTGCTTGCCTCAGACTCCACCACTCCCCTTTGTCCATCTTACTAAAGGCCAAGTGTGAGTTTCCATTCACTATCCCACTTACACTGTTTGGGTTTTGTTTTCTCTTGTAATAGAGTTGAGCAGAAAGGAAAGTATTTCTTATACTCATTGTGATTCAAAGTAGGAAAATGGAAAAAGCAGCAAGAGGACTCCAGATGTCTTGCCCCAATCTGCTTTACTCACGTCCAGTATAGTCTTGGTCTCTCTGTGCACTGAGGTTCTCCCTTCTGATCTGTCTCCCCAGGATCCAGCCTGTGTTGGCCATTAGAATTTTTCTTTGGCTGCTACCCACTGCTGGAAAACCTGGATGCGAGGGGGAAATAATGGGCATCATTTAAAATTACATTTTTATTATTACCCAAATTCAACATTGCTCATCACCAGCTTTTGGTGAAAATTACTTCTGTTGCGTTTCTTAATTACCTCCAAATGTAACTGGAGAGCAAGTCAAGGCAACAAAATACAGCACCCAGCTCTCCTCTCTATGAACACGGGCCATTGGAGTGTTGTGACATGTTTTGTCCACCTATGCGTTCACTCATTCCCAAGCTCTGACTGTGCTTCCAGATGGGGGGACCTTCACTTAAGAACAAGGATCCCCCACAGTTGTCCTCCATTGAGAATGCATGGACAGAAACACATGAATGGGGCCTGTCTGAGCTAAGGAGTTGGACTTCATTCATAGGCAGTCAGGAGCGTCTAAGTTTTTGGACCAGGAGAAGTATATAATCACAGTTAGCAATTGTCGGGGGACAACTCCAAAAGCAGAAGCACCAGTCAGGCATATGTTGGAGTGACCAGAATAACAAGAGATATGACTTCTGGTGGAGACAGATTTGAAAGAACATGTTGAAATTAGGCTTGCAATGCATCAGACATGGAGAGGCATGAATCAAGAAATGAAAAATCAAAGATGATCCAGAAATTCTGAGTTTAAGAGTTTAAAACACCAAAGACATGATCCAAAAAAGAAAGAAAATTGTTAAATTGAATCTCATCAAAATTAACTTTTGCTTTGCAAATGAAAAAGAACGTATGTACTGAGATAAAATATTTGCAAATCATATATCCAACAACAGATCTGTATCTCAAACATATAAAGAACTCTCCAAATTCATCAGTAAAATACATGGGCAAACACTGGGCTTCTATCTCAGTATTAGTGCACTTACCTGGTACGCCTTAGGCCCTGGATTTGATCCCCAGCACTATAAAAAACAAATTGTGGGGTCAGGTATAGCGGTCTATGCCTATAATCCCAACACTTTTGGACGTTAAAGCAAGAGGATCACAAGTTTGAGCCTAGGGTGGGAAAATTAGTGACCCTGTCTCAAAATTTTAAAATTAAAATAAAGACCTGGGGGATATAGCTTAATGTGAAGGTCTGGGTTCAATCCCCAGTACTACCAAAAGGGAGAAAAGGGCAAAAGACAGAAGGAGAATATAGAGACAGCAAATAAAAACATGAAAAGATGTTCTACCTCATTAGTCATTAAGAGAAAGCAAGTTAAGATCACAATGAGATACAGCTATCTACCTGTCAGAATAGCCACATAAAAATAACACCAAATGTTGGTATGGATATCAAGAAGGTAGATCCCTCATATATTTCTGGTAAGAATGTAAAATGGCACACAGCCACTCTGGAAGATATTTGGACAGCTTCTTGTAAAACTGAAGATATAGCTGCCGTGCTGCCTAGCAGTTCCACCCCTGAGCATTTATTCCCCCCCCCCAAATGAAGACTGTGTTCACACAAAAGTCTGTACATGAGTGTTCATAGCAGCTTTGTTCATACCAGCCAAAAGCTGGGAACAGCTCACATTTCCTTCAGTGGCCAAATGGTTACATCCATACCACAGACTATTACTATATCCATACCACAGACTACTATTACATCCATACCACATCCATACCACAAGCTATTACTGCTCAGAAATAAGAAGCAACACACTTCATGCACACCACGGTTTGGATGGATCTTTAGGGCAATACACTGAGTGAAAAATGCCAATCACAAAAGTTCACATACTATATGATTCTGTGTATATATAACATTCTCAAAATGACAAAATTTTAGAAATGGAAAACAGAGTAATGCTTGTCAGGGGTTAGTGATGGTGAGGGAGGAAAGATAGGAAGGATTCTAAATGGGTAGCAAGAAGGAGATCTTTGTAGTGATGGGACAGTTCTGTATCTTGGCTTTGGTGGAACTTATGCAAATCTACACTTATGATCGAACTGCATAGAACTACACACCCATGAGTGCATTTAAACTACTGAAATCTGAATAATGTCTGTGACTTATACCGATGTTAATTTCCTGGTTTTGATACTGAAAAATGATCATGTAAGATGTTAATATTTTGAGAAAATCCAATGAAGGTCACACAGGACCTCTTGGCACAATTTTTATGGCAACTGTCTGTGAATCCATAAGTATTTAAAAATTAAAAGTTAAGTACAAAAAAAGGAATAAACTATTGATACATGCAAAACATTGCATGAACCTCAGAAGCATTATGCTGAGTAAAAGAAGCCAGTCTTAAATAGTTACATACTGTTTGATTCTATTTGTATGACTTTATCAAAAAAGGCAACACTACAGTGATGGGGAATAGATCTGTAGTTGACAGGTGGCAGGAAAGGTAGGATGATGTAATCGCAAAGGATAACACAAGAGAGTGTTGATGGGTTATAAGAACTGTTCTGCATCATGAACTTGTACATAACGTTTTAAAAATCTCAGATGTGTACATACAAAAAAGCCAATTTTATTGTAGGTTAATTTAAAAATTGAAGTGGCAGAGGACTGGGAGTATAACTCAGTGGTAGAGCGTTGGTCTAACCTGTGAATGAGGCCCTCAGTTCAATCCTCAGTACTACAAAAAATAAAATAAAATTTTTCTAAAAATTAGATAGGCAAGTGATTCATTTCTGAATTGTTTCTTCTTTCATTCATACATTGGCTCAGCCATTTACTGAGCACCAACTATATGTAAGGCACTGTACTAGATTTTGGATATTGTTGTTGTTACTTTTCTCTCATTGCTGAGACAAAATACCCAATGCCCAAAATTAAAGAGGGAAAGGTTTATTTAGCTCACAGTTTGTGGAAGTTTTAGTCCATAATCAGCTGGCCCTACAGCACTATGGCATGGCACAAGGGCGACACTTCAAGACTGGGGAAGACAGCAATGCAACAAGAGCAAAAAGGAGGAGCAGCAGGGAGCAAGCCTCTTACCCTCCCTTATATTGTATGCAGGCTACCTGCCCCAGGGAGGGTATAGCACTCACACCCATAATCCCACATTGGACCATGGATCAACCAAAAACTCTAGAAGCCCATCCCATGGCTGCATGAGGCTTTGGGGGGACATTTGGCACAAACCATAACAGAGATCAACCAAAAGTAAAACAGTCCAGGTCTCTGCCCTCATGGAACATTTTTTCTGCTTCAGAGAAGTGGTCAATAGGGTTTGGAGCCCATTGTTTCTACTTAAGGGGTTAGAGCATGCAGAAGATTGCCAAGGGACCAAGTTAATATGGTTGTTATTCCCAGAGCCCAGTCCTGTAGGATCACAAATGATCACTTTTCTGAAAAGGATCTTAAGCCTGAGGGTAAGGGAAGGTCCCCTTTCTATACTTCACAGGTTCTGACAAGGGAACCTGCTAAAACAAGGAAGAAGGAGAAAGAAAGGTTGTTGTGGAAGGAGATTTGATACAGTTAATTCTGAAGTCTGAAAAATGTTACCTAAATGCCTGTGTGTGTGTGTTCCTGTTGGAGGAAGGGCTGAAACTGGCCATTTTTTTAGCTTATGACTCTATAGATTAGTGATTGAGCTGGGCTCAGCTGGATGGTTCTTCTGGTTTTGACTGGATCCACCCAGCATCTACATTCAGCTGGCTGTCAAAAACACCAATCATAAACGTTTATATACTATATAAGCCTTACTCATAGGTCTAGTACTTGGCTGGTGGTTGCTGGAGTGACAGGAGTAACTGGACTGTTTGTCTCTCATCATCCAGCAGGCCAGCCTGCACTGGTTCACAAGTTGAAATCACAGGGTTCTCAAAAGCAGGAAGAGGACCAGTCACAAAACCCAAGTGCTCTTTTTCTTCTTCACAGCTTTATTGAATATATATATATATATATCCTGAATTTGAAATTTTTTTCTCTTCTGTTTGCAGGGAATATGAAGCATGTGGTCTAGTTGACAAAAAGAGATCAGGTTTCCAGAGCTGACCAGCAGTGCCTGTAATGAAGACATCGTGTTTATGCAAGCAGTTTGTGGAATCTGTGACTGCAGGGGAAATTTGGACAAAATTACTTCCTGAAAATTTCCAAGGGGCACCAAGTAGCAGCTGGCCTCCTGGGTTGAGGAGGCAGGCATCTCAAAGTCCTCAACTAGGCCTAGGGGAAGAGGGAGATATCCAACATTTAAAGTTTTTATTTTTTAAAAACACACAAATACAGTTTTTAATCTTTGAAAATTATTTTTAAGCATACTTGGGTGGGAGGTATTCTTATTTTCTTAAAAGAGACAGGTCAGAAGCTGGAGGAGCGCATGGAGTTGTGGATACCAGAGGGTTTGGGCCTCAGGGCAATACAGGTGGAGCCCTGGGGAAGAGGCACCAATCAGAAGGCTGGGAAGTGGGGGGAAATTCAATGGTATTGTTTTAGGACTATGTATCTATTTTGATTTTTAATAAAATTTTCAAAAACCTGCCTCTTTGTCCCATTGGCCTCATTGTAAACTGCCGCTGACAGCACACACAGTTCTGAACTTTTCCTATCATAGAACTTATCAAAAAATAAACCTGCTGCTTCTGTGCTCTGCTCTGGCCCAGCCTGGCAGGCTCACCTTGATCCTGGACCCCATAGGGAAACTAGTGTGTCTCTACCCCAAGTCTTGTGAACAGAAGGCAAGCTCTGTCCTGCGCTAGAGCCAATCCATAAGACAGGAGTTTTGGGGGATTCCAGTACTGGAACCATGGAAAAGGTCTTGCTGGCACCTGGGGCAGGAGCTGCCCCTCCCTGGGAAGGATTTAGAGATGAGGACAGGGCATGTCAGATCTTCCTAATCAAGTGTAAACAGTACATGTGATGAGAAGGGAACAGTCTGTAACGCACTGGCTTGACTATAACCTCGGGGGGGGGGGGCAAAATGGAAGTGGGGAATAATGAGAGAGATGAGGAAGACCAAGGGATAACCATAGATCATGATTTTATAATTTGATTTACCAAGTATTTATGAAGCTCTCTCAACTACTGGGATGGACCAGGAAAAGAGAAAAAGACACAATCCCATCCTAGCCATTTAGGAATTGCCAGATAAGGCAAGGGAGAAGGAACAGAAGCAGATCTCAGCTTGTTTCAAGCTCTTTCCAAAACACTCTTGGATCTGGGGAGCACTGGAAAGGGAGCAACTCGCTCTGCTAGATAGGCCCCCTGGAGCATTGCTAAGGGGGTGATATTTGAGCCAGGCCCTAGAGGGTGAGCTGTATTTCTCCAGGCCCCTAAGTTGGGGAAGGGCATTCCATAGAAGGGTGTGGAAAAAGTCTTGAATGTGTCCTGGAATGGAATAGCCAAGCTTTTATTAAACTGGGTAGGGCGCCTTGTGAGCTAGGAATACCAGTCACTTCAAATGCCCACTATTCTAATTATACACTCTCAGCCTTAAGGGAAGTTGACTTAACCCCTCCTCCAAAAGGGGATTTTAAAGAAGAGTGGGGATGTGCTCAGTAGCTAGTGCAGGTGTGGGAAAGGCCAGAGAAGCCACAAGTGGGAGCTCTTGAATTTCCAGCCTACCAGAGACCATCGCCCAGATTTGCCCCATCAAAGGCTTGCTCAGCCTGGTTTCAGCTCTCCTACCCCAGTCTTCTGGACCACCCCCAGAGTGGTCACCAAAATCCCTGCCTCAGCCCTAAGAGGCAGACAACTGGTAAAGAGCAATGACTACCTGGTGCCCCCTTGTTCCTCTCGGAACGGATCTGGGCAGGGACGTGCCACCCAGTGGAGGAGAGTGACAGAAGATGCTAAGGCAGCAGGGGAGCTCTTTGCCATGGGGCACCAAATCTGCCTACTCCTGACTAGGCCAGCACTGCCTGTCTGAGCCTTTACTCTGGCCTCAGCTCTCGCCCAAGAACCAGAGCAAGCTGTTAACAAGACCTACTGCTGGTTCTCAGAGCTAGGCCTGCTCCTCCTCAGAGAAGGAGCCGTTTCAATGGCCTTCGGGATTCCTTCGCATTTCATTCTTGTAGAAAATTACTAGGCTGCAGGTGTAGCTTAGTGGTAGAGCATCTGCATTGCAGACACAGGGGCCTGGGATCAATTTCTAGCACTGCAAAAAAAGGAAAGGAAGGAAAGAAGCAGCTGGTTGAAAGAAATCCCATATAGATAAAAGTTAGAAGCCATTTTAGCTACTTAAAAATAAAAATTAAATACCCCTAAGGTAAGCATGGCATCTACAAACCAGAAAGACAGATTAAGATTTGGTCTGCCCAAAATTATCATAAATGCACAGGGAAAGGAAATATACCAAAATATTAACTGGGGTGGGCTTCTGTGGAGGAGGAAGATACGTTTTCTTTTTCTTCTTTCTGTTTTTCAGTATTTTCCAATATTTCTCTAGTAAACACATTTTACTTTTATATCAGAAAAAAGGACAGGGTATACAGCTCAGTGGTAGAGCGCTTGCCGATCATTTGTGAGGCCCTGTGTTTATTCTCAGCACCACAAAAAAATAAATAAAATACATTAAGTAACAAAGTAATAAATAAACTTTTTTTAAAAATTGGTCTGCAGATCTCCACAGAACAAAGTCATTTCAAGATACCCATGGAGGAAGATTGTGTCCAGGCCCTAGGGCTGTTCTAATTGCCCCAGGAACTCTGAGACCTGGTCAGCTTGGAGTCCTCATAATTTATAAATCAGTGAACTGGATACCTCACTAAACTAGTGATGGCTTTTTGTATGAACTGGCTTGAGAGCAAGGTAAGTTTGACTGGAGTGTGAGCCTGCCATACCCTCAGGAAACAGCTGCCTATCCACGTGCCCACACCCACACTCACCCCTTATGACTGCAAAGCACCAGCCCCATGACTTAAACACAATGGCAAGACAAACAGTGGGATGCGCCCATCTTACAGATCATTTTCACTCATGCTGTGTCACTAGCTACTGGGTAGATATTATATTACCCCACTTGAGAGATGAGGAAACTGAGGCCACAAACTTGCCCAGTTGTGAGTAAAAAAGCCAGGAAGCAAACCTAGCCAGAACTTTGAGTCACCTTACTTTTTCCACTGCCCCACACTAGTGCCCCTTTTATTTTTAAACTGTGAATTTGGAGTAAACAACTCTCTTACTGCTTCCAAAGTCCAAGCGGGACCAAGCCACATGCTGCTCTCAGGCCCTCAACCTATAATGACAACACTAATTAACTGTGTGCTTTCCAGCAAGTTGCTTGGCCTTCCTGGGTCTATTTCCTTGCACATAAAATGGGGCAAAGAATTTCTGCACCTCGTGGGCTACTGTGAATGACTGATGACTTACCAAAGATGTAAGCAATCTGAAAAGAGTCTCACATCTTGTGCACAGCAGAGCCTGCCATGAAAAGTCTTATCTCCAAGAGGCACTCGGCACTTCCAGGAAGCCTGCAGGCCTCCCGAGTCTCTGAGGCACTCGCAAGGGCCAGGGAGACCCAGAAAATACTGTACTTTACACTGCTCTGCCCTTGAGGGCTAAGGAAATAACCATCTTAAAAAGAATATGCACGTTAGATATGCATGTATTTGCATAAAACGTCTTCGGAAAAATACAAGTGAGCAACTGAGACACTTCGGTTGCCTCCAGCAGGAGAACCAGGTGGCCAGTGGCAAGGGAGTAAGGGAGACTTGCACTCTGTGCTTTTCTGTACCTTTTCATTTTTGGACCATGTGAATGTATTACCTGGTCCCTAAAAAAGCAAATAAGGTAAAAAAAAATAATTAAAGCCAATGGAAAAGTCCCAGGCCAGTTTACCTTTAGAGAGGGTAAATCTGCCTCTGCTACATTCATTGTGAGCTGTCACCAAGTATGGTTTCCATTCTGTACTTAAGAGTCTAAGGTAGAAGGCTTCATCATTAGATCAAATGCTGTCATCCAACAAAAAAAGAAGAGAAGGACAAGGAAGAAGAAACAAAAGCAGAAAGAAAGAAAACAACCATCTAGACCATGTCAGTGTTGACATATCTAAGCCGCCACCAAAAGTTCCTGAAACAGCCCTCTTCCTCCTCTCTCCTTCCTCTTCTTTTCCTTCCCCCTTCTTCTTCCTCTTCTCTACCTCCTTCTCCTCCTCCTTTTCTTTTTCTTCATTTCCTCTTCTTCCTCCTCCTTCTTCTTTAAACCCAAAACCTTCGCATGGAGTGGCATCTCCAGCCCATATTTTATTTTTTGTTTTGAGGCAGTGTCTTGAACTTGCAGTCCTCCTGCCTCAGCCTCCCAAAGTGCTGGGGTTACAGGAAATTTGCCAAGGGCAAGTCCCCCTACATCCTGCCCAGTGCTGAGCCAAAACTAACCAATAGAGCCTTGGCATGCAAAATACACACTTCCACTCAGACCGCCTGGGTTTAAGTCCGCTCTCTATCAGTCACTAGTTGTGCCACCTCGACCAGGCCAAGCAACTCGCTCTCTCTAAGCTTTAATCACATCTGTCAAATGAGGATACTACCTGGCAAGGGACCACAGAGAAGATGAAGAAATGCATGTAGTGAAAGGCATGTAGAGATCAATGCAGATGCTGTTCCTGCCCTTACTATGAGCCCCCTTCTGGATAGGGAAACATCCTGAGAATCCCAGGCTTCAGAAATTAGGGAAATGAGAAGCAAATATATGTCACTGTACATTTGTTCTTTTTTCTGAGGCAAGGCACCAGATTTTCCACACTTGAAAGGGGTTGGTAATGACAAAAAAAAGATAAGCTCTCCAGGTTCAGAGGAAAGGACAGACATAAAAACAGAGCCTTATACAACAGGGACCCCTTCCCTCAGGCCTGTGCACCTGCTGGGGCTCCTGCTTGCAATGCCCAGGTCTTCCTCAGGCTGGCTCCTTCTTGTGTAGTTTTTAGCCTGAAGGTTACCACCTCAAGCAAATACCTTGGCCAGCCACCCTTCCTTCTCTAGTCCAAAATACCATTTATCATTATCTTGTTTATTATTTATATTCACAAGCATGCACGTGCATGTGCACACACACACACACACACATCCCGTAGGAACTTCCACAGCTGTATCTCAGTACCTGGCATAGTACCACACATCTATGGAATGGTGAAACTGTGCAATAAAGCAAAGTTGTTTTCTGGGTGCTATGGGACATATAGGAGGGATGAGAAATTGTGAAGGCTGCAAGCAGGCAATGACACTGAGCTGAGTCTCAGGCCAGGCATGGAGGAAGGGAGGGTATTCTAGGCAAACGGACAGTGGTAAATGAAGGCTAGAAGGCACAGGAAACAGGGAAACTACAAGCAGTTCCATGTTGCTAGAACACAGACTATTGTATAATAACAAAGAAAACAAACTGCAAACACAAAAAAAGATTTTTAAAGACAATGAGGGAAATTTGGACATGGACTAGATCATGACTGTTAAGAAATTACCAAAACTAGAAACCTTTCAAATGCTCCCTACTCATCAAGTAGCTATCATCTCTCTTCCCTCTTTTTCTCTACCTTCAAATAAATGTCT